GCAACGCAAATATTAAGGTTGAGAGGCTGAGCTCGTAGATGATGATAAATAACATAGTTATGTATAATATATTACATTTCTGACTGTATATTCCTGTAATTATTACACACTGTAGCTTTAAAGTGCCTTGTTGGTTAGTGAAAGATTATGTCTAGGACCACCTCCTCTGTTGACAGATGGTTTTTCCACGTTAACAAAGATGGTTTCCTTAACCCCTCTTTCAAACCATCTGTCTTCCTTGGTCAGAACATGGACATTGGTGTCCTCAAACGAGTGTTTTTATCCTTAAGGTGTACTGTAGGTGAACAGCTGTCTTGTCCTGTTGAGCTGTGCGCCTGTGTAGGGGTTGCTTGGTCGCTCCGATATTCAAGTTTTTTGCACTCTTCACTAAACTGAATGGTATAAACCACGTTGTCTGCCTTATTTCTGGGTGTCTTGTCTTTGGGGTTAACCGGTTTTTGTCTCAGGGTGTTGTCGGGTTTGAAGTGCAAAATGATTTGGATTAAGAAAATCCACCAGAGTTTTTCAGAGGCTGCAGCAACATTGGGAATGATGATGTTCCCTCTTCCTTTCTCTTCCTTCTCAGCAGGTCTCTTCTTGTTGGTTATGAAAAAAGCCCGCCTGGGATAACAACAATTCTTCAGGGCTGCCCTGATATATCCATGTTCTTTCACCTTCCTTCGTCTTCTAGAAAACTTCACGTCCAGTTAACTGAACTTTTCAAGCTTGACCATAACCTGGATGACTGAAAATCTTCATAGATATCACAAAAATTTGATGTGTTCGATTTGACATCTCAAAATAAGCAGAAGAGGTGTTCATACAGTGTGTTAAATGACAAAAAGAAACATGGTAGAAAAATTATTTAATAGTAACGCAAACAAGCATACTGAACAAAACACTCAAAAGAAATAACAAGCAGAATCTGGAAAAGTATGATCATTCCATTTTCATTCCATCACAAGAAACCATAGAGCAAGGCTTTATTATAAAATTGGCTGTGATTTTTTATTATTTTAAACATGTCTTATTTATGGCAAAGATTCGGGTGAACGTAACCAATTTCAAGGGTCAATTCATGGTGCAGCCAAAGCAAAAGGTAGACCTTAAAAACATCTGGGATACAATATTGGCTTTTACTGTAAAGTTTGAACTAGGCCGATTAGGCTCAGTCACTGATAAGGTTAATACTAGCAGTGAAAGATGAACATCTGAACTTTTTTTCTGCCCTTAATTTTCAGGTATCTGAGGTCAGATGGCAGAAATTTGTATAAAATCTCAGATGTTTTAGAAGTTAATAAAACAATCCAATATTACTGCAACATTCCTGTCTGACTAGTTTACAGTGACTTCTCAGTTCCACCCTTGGTTTGGCCCTCTTACTTATGCTAAAGAATGTAAAGATAGGAGGACCTTTCAAAGTTGGTTCTTGTCAATTCATAGCACATCCTTAAGATTAAAGATTCAAAATCTTTATAGCTATATAAATAACAAGTAACAGAACAATCATATGCATGATTATGTAAATATCAAACAAAATATTACAACAAAAAACAACTGTTGTGTGATATAAGAGAAAACTACATTTGTATGATGCCTTTATATTTTATTAGATGTCAAAGATGCATTTTAGTCCATAAATAAATCTCAATAATATATCATATACCATAAAAATAGTTTCATGGCATAGAGATTTCTATATTCAACAATTTCAACAATGATTAGTCGCAGAAATATATTTTGATTTGTAAAATTCTTTATCAAACATAAGTTTTCCCAAATATAAATCCTAAGAAAACCGTTAAAAGGAAATTGAAAAGTTTGTGTTCTTGTGAAGCTGGAAGAAGGTTAAGGTCTATATATGTGTTCTTGTTTGTGTGCACGGCTAAAATTTAACCAAAGCAGACATCTGTGAAACAAAAGTCTGTCCACTTCAATACTTGCATCTGTTATTAAATGTAGAGTTTAAAAAGCAATACACCATAGAGCACCCACAGCAACAGCATTATCATTTAATTTATTTGTTTTGATCACATCGTGGTTAGGCCTTTATTGAGATGTGCTCAAGCTAACCACCTCTGATCGATAAATAGGTCTTGTTTTGCATCTGCGTGCGGTTACGGAGCAGTCGGCACCTTTCTGCCCATCTCTTAGATAATGACTCTGATTTCACATAGCTCGTGTTAGCCATTACCCATAAATGTCAGGGGGAAATATGGTAATTGACATTTGCAGGTGTCTGAATGGATCCACTGGGGGTTGTGAGATTTGTACTGACTGTGGCAGGGACATAAGTGATGCATGGCCTCACAAATGTTAGTTGAATAACACCCCCAGCCTAGGCCCACTAATAACCATGTTAGAGGATAATAAAGGACAGGTCTAGTTAACATTGTGATAGAGGAGACCAATGACTACAATCTGTCTTAGGAGGAAAACATATGGTGATGTCTGCAGGAGAACCTGTTTATACCATTTTCTGAGGTTTTATTGCAAGAATTTCCTGCTGTAAATGCCAAATTGCCTATTTTTGATCACACCTTATAGTAAATGATTGACATAAATGAAAAAAGGTTGTTTAACTAAAGAAGATATATTTAAGCTTCAAAAAATAGGCAATATAAGATGTCAAGATATTTTTGCATTGGAAAATACTAAGCAAATAAGAAAAAAATCTGTGAAATTTCAGTAGTTTAACAGTTGACAAACGTGTAAAGATTATTATAAGTGTATAAAGGACAGATTTGAACAGTAAAAGACTGGTTGACAGCACTAGTTTACCAACAGCCTCTGTGGGATGTTTCTAACCTTCAGCAGTGGGAGACCTGGTATCCTGAAAATGTAAGTTTTTCTATGAAGAAGATATATAAAAAATAATATCGTAGTAGCAGAAATATCAGGATAGTAAAGTATTCCTTTTTTTTTTTTTTACATGTTTAACTTTTTTAATCCATGGTGTTTATGAAGGAAAAGCAAATCATCCCTTGCAGGAATATACACAAATTTAGACGTACGTCACATAGATTAAGACATAAACAAACAGAACAATCAATTCCACAGAAGATTCAAACATTAATAGCCAATATTGTAAGTTGTATTTATCTATAAATAATCTTAAAGCTGTCTGACATTCTAAATGAAATAAACTTAGATATAAAACATAAAGGGGTCTGTTCGTATGACTTTTTAATGCCTTTAACTTACTTTTTATTTATTTATTTGTTTTCTATTAGATTTTGTAATTGATAGTTCATCATACATTATTTTTTAACTCTTTGTTGTCTGGGTCATTTACTCATCAGCTAAAGCATTTTTTCAGTATTTACCATATCGAGAACATGTGACCAGATGTACGATACTGTGCTTATAACCACCTTTTGTCAACCTAGACCTACAGTATATTAATTTGAGTGCTTCCCACCACTAGTTAGAAATGAAAAAGCCTCTTGGATGAGAGTT